ACTGACTGACTGACTGACTGACACTGACTGACTGACACTGACTGACTGACACTGACTGACTGACACTGACTGACTGACTGACCTTTATTTGTTTTCTATCTACTTTTGTCCTTTTGCCTTGTCCCGAGGACCCGTTGAATTTCTGTGAGCTCTTCCCTGAGCATCTCCCCTGGTATAGAGAGGCAGAGGTGAAGCACGGGCGCGTTGCAATGCTGGCATATGTGGGATTGGTCGCACCCGAGATGTTCCGGATTCCTGATCCTATCTTCAATCAAGTGGGCTTGGATTCCGTCTCAGCCCACAACATGCTTCTGGGAGCTGGTTTCGGCCGGGGACCGATGTGGTGGCTTTTCCTGTGTCTTGGCTCAGACATGCAGACGGTAGCCCGTAAAACTGGATGTCGAAAGCTAGAAGCAGGACCAAGAACATGTTTTACAGTACTCCTGTGGTTTGAGTTGTGCAAGCCAGACATGTATTTGCGCATGACAACAGGGGATTCTTTTGGAGACCAAAGTGTAGCTGAGCGTAGCTGAGGTTCTGCGGATTCCTGGAGGTGTTGCGAATTGGTCAACTTGGTTTTGACTTCGAACTTCTTACTTTGGATACTGCAGGAGACTTCGGCCTCGCTTTCACAGAAGAGAATATGGCAGTTTTGAAGACCCAGGAATTGAAGCACGGGCGTTTGGCCATGATCGCTTTTGGTGGCGCCATTACACAAGCCGTAGCATGCAATGCGCATCGTTTTCCTTTTATTCCATGTAGCACGTGCTAGTTTCCAGATCATGTTTTTGCAAAACAACAGGTCATACAGTGCTTGTAAGCAACTGTTCAGTTGAACGATTTTCCGAACTGGCCAAACTGGCACGTTGTTGCATAGGTCCGTCGCTTGGCAGCAGCGAAGACGCTTACTTGTAGAGACTTTCATACCGTTTGCACAGAACGCTTGCTTTGGAGTGTATCCTTCAGCAAGCGGACCTGCCAAGCTAATGACTGTTTAAGAATGCATTTGAAGTTCCATTTTGCAAGGCCTTGAGTTCCACCAGAGGGTGCCCATGCATTGACTGCCTGCAAATGACTTGATATCATCCAATATGCATTGTTTTGCATTGAGATCATTATACCCAAAACATCCCAAAACATACCTTTGCATTGACTTTGCAGGGGCCCTTTCTGGCGCTTCTCTGCCAGTTCAGCAGCAGAAAACAGAATCAACCATTCATTGGGTTATTCCGGTTGTTCTTGTCACTCCCACTGAAGCCACTCAATGCATCCTCCCCTATAGGCCCTATAGCTTAGCTAAGGAGCAGGAGAAAAGGACAAACGCCCCTTTTGTGGCTTGATGATGTCCAATTTCCAAGCAACAAAGCAGTGGTCTCTACAGATCGATTCAGTTCACAGGGCCAGGAGCCACACCGTGCCGCGCCCCAAACATCTCCCGGGCCATCTCTCGGCACGCTCACAGGGCCGGAAGACCCCAGCCGGGAAGAGTCAGTAGGGGGACCTGTTTGAAGCGAGATCCGTTTTTCGAGAAATCGAGAGAACACGACAGCCAGCGTCCGTAAGTTCAATGCCCACTGCATGGTGAGATTTTGTTCAGCCAAAAAAGAGTGAAACTGTGAAAACGCACGGACGCACACTAAGCTCAAAGTCGGTCGAGTGGCCACATGTGTTTTCAGGTTTTGCCAACCAGTGATTTTGCTTGGCACAACCATTGAGGCCATCTGCTTGGCACCTGCAGGCACGGTCGGGGTCGAGGTCGTCATGGGCACGTGCTATCACGTGGGCACGATCACGTGGGCACGTGGGGTGTTGAGAGTTTGGAGGTGACAAACCATGCTTGGCTGCTTGACACTCTCAGAACGTTCAGTGCAACGTGTTCAGAGAATACCAGCTAATGTGGCAGACGGATAATATCAACCCTAACAGAACAAACATTTGTCGTAAAACATGTGACGATCGTTCAGCAGCTTCTGGCCCAGGGGAGATGGAGAGACGTCGCCCAGAGGTCGGACAAAAGGCGCGCGGCAGGGCCATGGCGGGGCAGCTCTGCGCGGTGCTTTTCGGGTCGTTGGATTTCTCTCTTTTTTCGGAACAAAGAAGCTACTAGGAACAAGTGCCTTACTAGTAGTAACAGGTGCCTTACTAGTAGTAACAAGAAGCTATTAGAAACGATTTCTCTCTTTTTTTCGGGTCGGTCGTTGGACCCTTCGGAACTGGAACCCTCCAGTACCCCACTGAGTGTTTGGTAGGTCGCGGCTTGCAGGATTACGTCGCAGGTCGTTGTTAGTTGGTAGGTCGTTGATGAGTTGCGGCATCGCGATGCATCGGTACACCCAGCTGGGCAACAATGATTTGGGTTGCCCTGGTGTGGGCCGAAGCTGCCGGCTTTTTGATTGTATCCAAGTTTTCCCCGGCCGAGCTTTAAAAATGCTTGAAAGGGTTGTAGACACGCCAGGAAGACCTTTTGGGAGTTGCCACCTGAAATTCAAAGAAAGCTGTGGTGACGGTGTGGTGCTGCCATTTGATTCATCCCTAAGTTTCAAGCAGGTCGTGGCTTGCTTTGGGGCTGCAAATGGGACTACGCCAGTGGTCGTGCGTCATATTCCCATACGCCTGCCCCTCAGGGCATGGAATTCATGATTGACTATGATTGATGAAAGGGAGTTGGTGAACGATGGTGAAAATCCTTACACTGTCCTGCTGATTGGAAGTGTTCAGTCCAACTCTTAATTGTCACAGGAAAAAAACCTTGCTGGCGCCTCACAGTTGGCTGTGGGGAATGTTGTGTTTTGGTTATAGTCTCCTGCAGTCTCCTTGTGACAGCTGACCACCGCACTGACAGCTGTGGAGATCCTCATGAGGACTTGGAAAGTCTGGTGCGATCACGGAGCATTCCACAGGTGTGGCAGCCCTCTTCGGAAAGGATGTACAAACATTTTGGTGCGGCGCGGCAAGCGCCGCACCACCACCAAACTTGTCTGAAAGGGAAGCCATCGAATCTGTATATAAATCTACTATTTGGGAAGGGCAGCACTTCACTGGAATTTTGTGAGCACTGACGTGTCACAGGCCTGCATACTTCAGATGAATTGCTGGCACAAATGTTGGAAAATATATCCATCAAAATGCAAAGCCACTGCCGCGAATCTGTAAACCGTAAAGAACAGAGTAGCACTGCCGTGATGGATTTCAGGCTTTTGGGACGTTCGCATGTGCACGGGATCCGAGGTGCCATCGTGGGATCCGAGGAGTACGAGGTGGGCACCCGAAGTCAAACAGGGGAGCCGACATGCTATGAACTGGCCATCACCGACTCCCTGCCTAGCTTACATGTTCGCATGTCCCCTCTGCACTAATTAGGGGTAAGATTGGCTGGGCTACGTGTGGTCAGCATCAACGTGGCGTTCAGCTCGGGCATTTGGGGGTCGCAACTGGGCAACTGGCCGAAGGCGGCTGTATCGTGGTCAAGCCAGTGGTTGGGGAGTTCTTGAGTTTTGATATGTTTGTGCGCATGTTTTAAACACTTTGAGCACTTAGCAATTTGCCGCGATTCATATGCAGTTGCAAAGATGACAACAAAAAAGGCCAAGTGACATGTTCCTTCCCCACGTGCGACTTCTCGGCACTCAAGGTCAGGGAGGTTGGACTTCGAAGCAGCGGAATGTACCGGCCAGTGGAGAATGGCAGCCCTCGCATGTTTCTTCTTAGTGAAGAGAGTGAGAGAGAGAGAGAGAGAGTTCAGGTGAGACATGTTTCATGTGCCAGGATGTTTAAGTTTCTCTAGATGTTCTTCTTAAGTTTACCAGAAACACACACCTCTACCTGTGACATCTAAACTGGTCTTCTTTGGGGCTATGAGGTGAAGCGAAGATGGGACTCTTGGATCAATCGGATGATGCTTGGGCCTTGATCCTGACTCTTCGCTCAGCTAAGCGGTGTCTTCGCCAACTTGGTCCTGACATCTGAGGCCGTGGTGATGTCCTACCAGTGGGTACCATGGGCCGGACAAATCGGGTTGCCGGACTGATAGAAAGTGGGGAGTGAGATGAGCCAGATGTCAGACATGAGGTCAGGTGTGTGAAAGACCTGACTCAACCTTCCAAGATCTTCCAAGCAAAAGGCCTCTACAATAAAGTGTGATCCTGAGTAGTAAAAGGGATTCCCCCCTCCCTCCAACAAATGGGAGGTCTTTTATAATACACTACCACCAAAACAAATCTGGGTTCCTAGCATGGGAGGCTTCCTTTTGAAATTGGTTGCAGTATTCATGTTCCCGTCTCAGGTTCCTTGTAATTAGATATTCTCAGCATGCCATTTATACTAAGAAGAGGGCAAAGAAGGTTCTCAGGTTCTTTGCTGCTTTGAAGAAGAACTAGAGAAACCTATACTTATCAATACTCTCAGCAAGCCAGCCATTGGCTTAGTAGTATTGAGAATTACTCTTCTTATTTGTATTCAGGAAAAATCTTTGCACAATTGAGGACCCTTAAATCAACGTTTTTATTGAGGATCAGGGGCCTTCCTGGTCTACTACCTTGAAAATTTGTTTAGGAGCAATCTTTACATAACGGATTGATTAAGGAGTTGATGGCTTTGGGAAGCTGTCAATTTCGAAGAAGAACTAGAGAAACCTATACTTATCAATAATGTCAGCAGGCCAGTCATTGACAGTATTCACAGTTCTCCGAAGGATTTTAAACCCAAATTGTTTTTCAGATAGTAAAAACACATAGGATCCCTTAAAAAAATAGCATAATAGAGGACCCCTTAAAACAAACATAGTGTCCAGATGTGTTTTTGGAATCTTTAGCATTCTAGAGGATCCTTTTACTAATCAGGATCCAACATGATCCAACATTATTCTATAATTATCTATGTATACACTACATACATAATCATACGTAATGAAATGTGTCCAATTCAGAAACCAGAAAGGAATAAGTCTTTTCTGTTTCCTGCTGACCGTTCTGCCTGTTTGCATTTGCCCTCAGGTACCACCCGGTGAAGTGAGAGAGGACTCGCAGCTGTTGCAACAGATCTTGGCCCCAGGCTCAGGGGCCGCTAGACCAGGCCGACCAGAAATACAGTCAACTGCATGTGATCGTTGAGTTTGCCAAATCAAGAATCAGAACCTTCCTTAGTCTTCCTTCGCAAATCGCCATGAGGTTGCCGCAACTCATGTGCGTTTGCAGCTGCCGAGCAAGTCTGGCGACACGGAGGAGTTGATGATTGACTTGCAGAGCTGCCAGGCAGTGCCGGGCACCAGTGAAGTGATCAGGTGGAGTGGCTGGATGAAAGGAATGGTCGTGTCTATCAAGAACTCCGGATGTCGCAACTGTGAATTGAGAACAAACAGTTAACACCATTTGACACCACTTAGCTAGTTGATCTCTGAATCTTAGCAATTGCCTAAGACTTTGAGCACAGCCTTTGCAGGTCACTGGACATTCCTCCTGGTATCAGGCGATGCTCCGGACCGTTACGGGACGCGGTGACCGGGACAAAGATGACCAGGTCTCATGAGACGTCTGATGATGTCTGATTGGATGCTTTACCATGTATCATGATGTATATTAATGTATCCATTTGCACATCACAGTCTTAGCAGGGCGTCTTAGCCAAACAGTTTTTGCCGCAAGATGTGCCCTTTCTTGGACACGGGAGGATGCGATCTGGATCGGTGAGGATCAAAGTGTTTGCATCAGACATGATCGTCGAATCAAAAATCATCTAACAAGCACACGCAGACACACACACACACACCTCAAAAAGACTTGGACCACTTCGATGGGGCAACAACTTCCAGTCCGACCTTTGGAGTGAAGGAAGTTCCGTGCCGAGGGTATCCGAGGGGCCGACCTGGATTTAGAGAGAAGACCGGGGAGACCTGGGCCAATCACGCAGGTTTGGGGTCTCCTCGACGTTTTCTCTTTGGTCAGCCTGGATTGTAAGACACCAGTGGTTTACGCAGGCCAACCAAATCAAGAGATTTGCTCTGGCAGATGATGTGTTCTGTGTTCCACATTGGCCGACCTCAGGTCCTTCCTGCCAGACCGCGAGACTCCGCCGACCCCTCCTTGGGTGGCTTCCAAAGGCTCACCCTGGGGATAGGCCCAGGTCTACGCCTGCCCGAGGGCTCAGAATCGCGTTTGTCTCGGGGGGGGAGGTCTCCCAGGAATGAGTGGATTACAGTGGCTTCCATCTGGAGGTCTCCCAAATGTCACCATGTACACAAAGCCCAGGAGTGGTGAAAGAATTGAATTGAAGATGTTGTTCAATGAGTTATTTGCTTCTTGCGACTCAGGCATCAATCCTGGAGTGGAGTGCAAATCGCATGGTCATATCATCATTTTGATTTATGCCTGGACAATGGGCAAAGTGGCTCAACACAGTATTTGAGACAAGAGGCGCACAGTTTTTGGAGGCCCATGATGACCCTTTATATTTGACGGGAGTGTCCAACACATGTTGGAGGGAATGCATTTCATGGGCCATCGATGACACTCCTGCATTGTACTGTACTGCATCTCAAAATGCATATGCAAGGAAGAATTGGACGGCATACCCGAAATATGGAGGCAACCCCATTCCCCTTCTATGACAGTTGTAGAACTGCAATCAAAAACTGCACTGAACCCACCCGTCCCCTTGCCATGGTGTTCATCTCTCATGTTTCTCTTCTTCCTTTGCGACAGCCTCCTTTGCGGTCACAAGAGCTTTGGTGTCCGGCTCCACCAGCTCGCCGACGAGACACCTGACGCGAAGACAAACGCGGCGACAGCGCGGTCTGACCGTGCGGTCGACCGCGCCACGAGCCGTGTTTGTTCTGCGTGTTTGTGCATCGCCAGCGGAGGGGCCTTGGTTATGGGCGGTGGAGATCATTGTCCTCACTCTGCTGTGGGCTTGGCCATGAAAGCACTCACAGAGCCTGCGGTCTACCAGGAGCTGGCCAAGGATCCTAAGGTGAATGTGCTCGTTTTACGTGCAGCGATGAGCACTGCCAAGTGCCGATCGCATGGCGAACAGTTCCCCAAGGTGGTGAAAGAGCGGAGACAATGTCAGATGATTCAAGATTTGGAGACTCCATGGAGTGTATGTGATCTTGAAGATGTGGCCCGTCCTAAGTCTTGATCCAAAGCTGTTAGCACAATGAGAAGCTTGATCTCGGTCAAGAGGAGTGTTCCCTTCAAAAGGAATCCCTGTCCAGGAGTTGATGAGTTAGAGTTGGGCCAGTTTTTCATACGAAAACCCAACTTTCACTGCTTGAGGTGATCCGAGATCGACCAGACCGCCAACGTTTTCCCGAGCTTGAAGCCTGTCGACTGCGTCATGCTCAAGGCATTTACGGAGGAGGCTGGGTGACCGGAGCGGTCGAACGTCGAACGATGGGTCCAGTGGACGGCAGATAGAGGCGATCTGCCATCCTGGTGTTTGAGGTGTCTTGTCTTCTAGGGCACATGGGGGCCACCCTGTGTTTGTCATCCGTAATCATTTTAATGGCTTCTATGTTTCTAGCATAGAGTTGAACCTTGTCACAGATTAGGGTGCAAAGCAAGAATTGGTCCGATTGAGACAGAACGTTTGACCCACAGGTAGAAGAAGCTGCAAGTCCCAACGCCGTAGTTGATGTTGTATTGTTCTCCTTTGGTGGTTCCAGTTGAGTTCCAATCGAAGGGCAACATTGGTCTCACGCAACCATGGTTCTACGAGAATGTACTCTTGCAACACCAGCATGTACTCAGCCCAAGACTCCACTGATTGACTGATTGACTCGCATTTCATCATTTGGTGACCATCCGTACTCATGAAAAAGCATACGCTCAGCTTACGCTCGACATATTTTGGTGCAGGGGACGACTTGCACTTCCGGAAGGATATCGCCGTGGCTGCGGGAGATGAGCTATTGAAAGCTTTGCGCCGCACGGCGCTGCAGAAATATCCGGAGATGGAGGGCGACGATAGCTCCTGGGATCAACTGGTCATTGGCATTTGGCCAGGACTTTATGCAGTACACCAATTCATTGTCTAACTAAACTATTAAGCATACGTTGACAGGACAGATTTTGGTAGTATTTAATTTATACTTTCTACAGAATAATTTGTAAGAGGTGTGTTGTTCTATAATATCATGATTTTACCTTCTGCATGCCTTGATGCAGGTATTCTGTTAGTTCTAGCAGCCGGCTGGAACACCGAAGATGGGGAATACAACTGCCTCGATTCAGATGGCCATTGCTGGCGCAAGACAGAGCTGGTCGCCTTGGCGGAGCTTTGCGCGCTGAATGGGCGCCCCTTCTCCAGCTTTCATGCGAAGTTCGAGCAGCTGTTGAATCGATGTCAGGAGGAGCACATTGCTTTCATCTTCCAAGACTTGGCATCCATCACTGCTGCCTCTGTCGCTCCTCACTTCCCGAAGCCTTTGTCAAAGCCGTCCCAGCAGCTCTTGAGCGAGACGGTAAAAAGGAAGCGGCTTCGGGAGAAGACGGTGGCTGAGGAGTTAGCGGAGATTACTGGGGTGCCGCTGGATACGGCGGAGAGCATCATCTCAGTGGCAGGTGGCCTTTCTGAAGCCTTGGAGCATCCCATGTTCAAACAGGACATGACGCGTGAAATCAAGCATGCCAGAAATGAAGCACCCTTCCAAGAATTGGTGCCATCGCACAAGTCGATTGACCTGGACGCACCAGAGGATCCCGGGAAGGGTGCCAATTCCGCTTTGTCCGAGTTGCTCAGCATGGGCTTTCCACAGCTAGCGGCCGAGACCGCCTTGCACTGTGCGAATGGCAACCTTTCGCAAGCCCTTGAGGATTTGTTGTCCACATAAGATGCACCAAAAAGATCCAAAAAGACGGAGCGCTCCCAGGGCTCCCAAGTACTAGGCTACCCTCCCCGCAACAAACATGGAAGTGAGAATCGCCCCTGGAAAAAAGGCATGTTCCTCTACAAACAGGGGTTTGTTCACTTCTATGTTTTTTGCAGGGAGGGTTGCCGGGAGAGCAAGATGTATAAGATAGAAGGTGTACAGCGCACTGACGTGAAGTCATGTTTGCAAAACTAATTTACAGTCGTTCAGCTAAGTGGCAAGTCAGTTTGATTGTGCCTTAATATTAACAACGCAGAGAGACTGCCAAACTCGGAGCACCGTGTTGTTTGTTGGCATAAAGTGGCCAATACACATTTGCTTGAAGTTTTACATTCAATCCCGGTGTCAATGGTGGATCCTCAACACGTATTGATGAAATCCAAAGATAAGTTCAAAGTATGTTGGGCTCAAAAACTGAAGTTCCACCAGCTTTCCTTTGGCAGGCTGCGGGGTGAACCAAGTGAACCATTGTTATTTCTACAGGTAATTGAAGGAAGAGTTGTTTCCTGCGTGTAACCCCTTAAAGGCGCTTTAAAAGCTCTGCATGTCGTCTTTTTTTGTTGATTGGATACGATCTAGGATCCAAAGAGGTCAACCAGAAGAGCAAAGGTGCATCACACCACGCCTGTAAATCCAAGCATTACTCTATGTTGCGGTCGTTCCTCATGAATCCATCGAGAATGAACAATGCGCAAGCTGACTGGTCATACACAAGGAGTGGCCCAATCCTCGCATTCTCGTTGAACATAGATTTGAGTATCAAGATCCTCCGCATTGTTTCTGTTTTTGTTCAAGGCCTTTGCCACACAAGCTCTTTGCCACTGCTACGGGGGTAGCGGAGACTGCTGAGGTCCACAGTCATGTTTGTGGGTGTGCACGTACACATTTTGTTCAGAGTGGCTCTTCAAACTGTAAATTTGATGTTCTTTGATTGATCATTGATGGTGTATGACTCAATCTATGAGCAAGTGATAGTAGACATATTTAACAATTTGTGACCATGGGCAAGTGATAAGTCACTGGACGTGTCCACAGAGACAAGACGTCTATCCCGCGGGTCAAATATACTTTGATGGGCTGAAAAGAGCTCAGCTTAGGGCGTCAAGGCCCCTGCTTGGTTTCATCGGCTTCTCTAACAACTCCGCTCTGAATGGTACGTTGTCGACACCATTTTCCAGCAAGTACTGTGATGGCCACACTTCCAGGTTCTGGCACATCTTCTGGCAATATGGTTTAGCCAGCGACACAGCTTGGAGGACATGGGCCATGGGCAGAGCTTTTCAATGCTCTTCAGTGGAATGGGAGCAGAAAGATATCAATCAGTGACATTTGTCCTTGGTTGGAATATTTGGCAGACTTGAAGTTGACTTTTTAAAGCCAAACAGGATGTTTGTGCAGCTCTCCGTGTCATCCTTAGTTTCAGCCAAGACTGCTGTGGTCATGTGCTTCAACTTGTGGTCACTGACGTAACTTGTGTTCAAACCCTTGAGGCCAACAACCATCCCTGGTGTACTTTACCTCCACCGCGGCAGCCTTAGTTGGCCCCATCCGCTCCTTTAAGCAGAAAGTGTTCCAAAGACAAGAGTGTGACATAGGAAGAAGCCGCATAATCATGCATCATCCACCATTCCAGACATTCCTTAAGGCTTTGCCTCCCGTCTCTAGTCAGTCTTTCTTCTACATTGCCTCAAGTCAAGGCTTTGTTGGAGCGCTTTGATGATCTTGGAATCATTTTCATGCAGGCGCTGTATCTTGAAATCATTGATTCATTGATTCAGTACCTCACATTTCGTGAACAGCCAACAATGAAATAGGTGCGTTGGTAGGTTGGTGATCCTAAGTCCAAATCTATCATCTCGTTCTTGATCCATTCCTTTTCTGGCTCAAAGCTTAGAGTACCATTTGAGTGTCTACGCAGGTCCCTCCTCAAAACTGGTAGTCGAGGTTCCACCGGGACTGGGTTTGGGTCCTGCAGAAGATTGCTTTTTCGTTGGTTTTTGTCAAGTTTTTCCCCACCTGTCAGGTGAGGGTTGTTAGATTTTACGTCAGCCTCATCTCCATGGCGGGGATCACTCGAAGTAAAGTAGTTCTCTCATGGGGTGCAGGTAGGGGTGGAATGCCTCCAGGGCGATTCTTTCAGCCCTCCAACTTCTGGGAGGCCCTCAAGAGACACTGGTCGAGCGTGCTGCACCACTTCGACGAGCTCATGCCTTGGGTTGTAAGCTATGAATCAGAAGGGCGATTCATCTGTGGTTTTGTGAACACACACGCAGAAGTGCCATGAAACGCCTGTTTGTCAACCATTTGGTATTGTTTAAGATATATAATCTTCTTGGATCAGCATACACCAAAGGACATATGTGGGTTTTGTCAGCCTTCACGTTTGGTTGACCCGAAGAAAGCCCGATGATTCGGCCCTTAGACCCACGGCGACCCGTCAGCACGGGCCAGTGACCCGGCTGACACCAATTCCTCAGACGATGAGCGATGATTGGCTCAGGTCGGAACTGAAGCAAGGCAGCCATCTTCCCGAAGTCAAGGAGATCTGGAGATCATTTGTTTGAGGGAATGGCGGCGCCAGGCCAATTTGATTCCAACTCTGTGATTCCGTGGGAGGAGATTCTATTGCAACTCTTGCTTGCTGGGCCCAATGACAGATTGGCAGCTGTCGAGAGCTGAGTTCATGTCTGTACACCAAGCAGCTAGCGCAGATTGAAGGCGTCGACTCGACATGGTGAGGGTTCCGCTCGATCAACTCCGGCGGGTTGGATCCGCTCGATCTACTCAGGTACTTCCAGCAACTCATCTGGGTGACTTTTGCAGCCTTGTAACTTGGATGATTTTGAACCTCCCATGTTCTCAAGAAACGAGGAAGGCAAACCAGGAAGGGCAAGATCAAATCATTTTTTAGTCTGACACAAGGAATCACATGGAATCACAACCGTTTGACCAAAGCTGATGACAAGAAGGGTTCCAGCGCTAGTCAGTTGTTGCCAGGTTTCAAGCTTTCAGTAATTCATTTGCCCTTCCGGCGGGTGCCCCACGAAGCATGGACGTCTTCTCACAAACCTCTCGGCCAAATCTTCTCAGGTGAAGCATACGAAGCTCTCGCTGGAGCTTCTGGCAGTGGAGCGCTTCTGTTTCGAGGCCCCCAGCTGTCGGAAAAGGAACAACGAGGATGATCTCCACTTGAAAAAAGGAACGACTTGGAATGACTTGGATGTCACGGAATGGAAGACCATTGTTGTTGAGTGGGTTTGTTGTACTTCCATATTTCTTTTTGGGATCGTCTCCACTTCTGCAGAGGGGGGCTCGCGACTTGTCAAGCCCCCTTGAGCGTAGAATTCCAGCGGGCAAATTCGCTCACAAGGCTTTCTTCGGATAGCGGCTAGCGGCGGTAGGGCCTGCTTAGGGCTTGCTTGGGTCTCTTTTAGGTCAGCACCTGATGAATCTATAGATGGCACAAAGAACCCCCGCAGAGTGCAGTAGAGGAGGACTATTATAAGGGGAGCCAAAGTGTGCAGAGCGTGTTTTTTGGATTGCGTGGCAAACCTCCGACGTCACTTCCGCCTTGTTGGCATCGTGAAAGATGTCAGCAGCTTGAGGCTTCTTTAGAGAGGATCGCAGCCTTCCAGCATTCCACCATCACCTTCATTTTGATCGCAGACTCCTCAGTTTCCTCGGAGTCTCCCCTCAATTTGCAGACTGATTTTGTCCTGCTTGTGTCGCTTCAGAACTCTGAGGAGGTTTGCGGTGACGCGAGATTTACTGTAAGCTGACCGACTGAGGAAATCACCGGGCAAATGTCTGCCTTACAACTCAGCGAGCGCCAGCCACAGCCACGATGTCGCCATCGCAGACGACCGGTTGAACCGTCGTGACGCCCCCCCTCGCACTTAGCCGCTAAGCCGCTTAGGCTTATTCGCACAGCTTGTGGGTCCATTCGCCTCGTTTTCAGCCCAACACTTAGTCGGATGATGTGAGATGTCACAGCAATAATTTCTATGCCAAAGTGCCTGAGGTTGGTATCCGGGGCTTCTGCCCAAGCTGGCACTGACCCTTTCCTTGGCCAATGTTCTCTTGCCCAATTCCCTGAAAGAGGTACGATGCTAGCTTTATAAGTTAATTGCACTTCCTTGGCAGAGGCAGAGTACGCCAAGATAAGCTTTTGGTCAGTTTCGAGCTTTGCAGGCTGATCTCAATTCCCGCTCCGTTGGACACCCAGTTCTCAAACCTCAGAACCGCAAAAACGCCCACGGCCCTCGGGAATTCGGAGAAGCGAGGCACCCACACCCTACCGAGACACCTTTGCGCCAGGATCCCAGAACGGTGCTGGCGCCTGGCGTGTTCGGCGAACTCGTGCGCGGCGTGAACGGCGAACGGCGGCGGGTGAACGGCCGCAGGTTGGGACAAGCGACCTTGGCCTGCTGCCGGAGGATGGAAGCAAATCTACAAGACCTGAGCCCGCTGGTCTTGGCCTTGGTCTGAACATGTCTGAACAAATGAAGAGGAGGTTTGGAAGATCTTGGTGTTGAGCTCAGGATGGCTTGGATGCATCCCTGAAGGATGACAAGATGTCTAGGCGTGGAAACTCCAAGATTTTTTTGAAGATGGAGTATTTAAAGTTGTCTAAGATGGCGGGACGATGCTGTTCTTGCTTGTTTGGTGATTTTGGTACACGTCTTTCATGCAAAGATTGGATTGGAAGAATGTGTGAGCTGAGCAGGGGTGGCAGTGGCAAGCACATCAATTGGGTCTTTGCCTCAGCGGACGAGGAAGATAGACAGTTCCTTGATTGAGCCTCATCTTCAGATGTCACCTTCAGAGAAACCCATGGGATGTCGGAACAGCATGGAACAACTTTATACTGTATAACTATGATTGTGATGTATTGAGAACAAAAGTGATCAAAGGACTCCCACGGGATGCGTTGGCTTGGTCCAACACGCTGAGGCGCGAAATCTGAAAGAATCTCAAGGGTTCCTGAAAGAAGCACATGCGTGAGACTTGGACTGGCTACTGCGCTGCTCGAGATGCTGCTTTTGTTGTACACATGGAATCCACAACTCAAAACCGCAGCTGTTCGATTGCTTGATTGGTTGGTTGGCACACCTGAATCACCTCCGCATGGGACGCCTGTTTGCCTCCACAGACACACAGATTGCTATCCTTGAGGCATGGATGGATCGTGAGATAAAGTGGCGCAGCGCAGCAGTCCAGCCACTGGCCTAGATTCAAGACATTGTCAGTGATCGCCAACTTCGTCCCTGAAATTATCAATATCCTGAAATGATCACGAAAGCCAGCCGATAGGCTAGGCTGGAGTCCAGGGAGCGAACGAAGTGAGTAAAGGGGGTGTGGGGGGGTGGTCGCCAGCAGGGCAGGTTCGGTGGCCCGGAGGTAGTGAATTTTCCTTCCTATTGCTTGTCTTCTCTTTGCTGCTTCTCTTCCTTCCTCTTGTATCTTCTCCTCCCAACCCCAAGCAGTTTACTGTCAGGGTTCTCTCCTAGGAAGCAAGGGTTGTTGTCCTCCTGTTATCCTGCTCTTCTCCTCCAGTTGTGTTTGCTGGTGTTTTGCAAGCGCAATGGCGAACGCCTGTGTCCTTCTCCTGTTCTCCTGGTGTCCTCCTGCAGTCCTCTAGCTTGCAAGCGCATGCAAACGCTGTGTCCTCCTCTTGTCCTCTTGGTTCTGGCGAACCCCGTGTCATCCTCTTGTTCCCCAATCATATTAAGAACCAACTGGCTGCTGTGGCCACGCCGCGGGCTTTCTTGCTCACCATGTCCGGAGCTTGTCCAGGCCTTGTTTGCTGCGCTGCTGTGGGCAAGGCATTGTCCTTGTTCAGGCTTTGCTTGGCAGCGCCTTGTCCAGGCCTTGTCCGGGTCTGTCTGTCCTGCTTGTCAGCGTTTATTTTTACCACCACCTTGTCCAGGCCTTGTCCCCCTGCTTGGCCACGCCGCTTGCCCTTTCTCCACCACCTTGTCCGGGCATGTTTTCGTGTGGCTGTGAATGCAGCAATGGTGCAGCGTTGATATCATCATCGGATCTTCTCATGACATACCTTCTCATGACATACCCCTTCGTTATGTGACACGGGAATCAGGAACCATTGTTCTCAAACAATGCCATCCCCTAACAGCAGGAAAATATAGAAAACAATGACATAACAAGTAATGCTGAAATTGTTTAGTGTATATGCTAGCATATTTGATATATTCTTTGGCATTTTACTCCCACTCTTTCTGTTCCGCCTTGAGCATGTCATTTTTGAGCGCCACTACCAAAACAAGTGAAGCATGAACAATATGCAAAACACGCCATAGGCGCAAGAACGCACAAGGGCAAATGAAAGAACCCTTCAACATAGCACTTTGCAACGAAGGTTTAGGACAACTATGTATATATATATAGAGTTATATATATATAACATATATATATATATTAGAACGGAAATACTGAAGAGTGCTGACACACGTTTCAGTACTACTCTTCAGTGCTCATCACTGCGGTTTTTGCGCCGTTTGGATTCGAGACAAGCACATCAGTGGTTGAGTGCTAGTTGCCTCAAATCTCCATTGCAAGGTCTCAGGCGCAGCAAACACTTCTATTGCTTGTCACTTCTGATGAGGCTTGACACAAACCAGTCAAAATGGTTTGCCCAAGTCTGGCCATTGTTTGCACATGCCCACATCAGCGTGGAAAATGTTTGTGTGTGTGCGCGGCTGATTCCACGTAGGGATATTGACTCCGCCTTCACGACTGATATTTTTCACACCTTCACGACGATGGAAGTCCATACTCACTTCGTCCCATCGATTTTCCCGCTTTCCCTGAGAAAAAAATGTGGTAACGCCTCGATGCCAGGCACTCATCCAGAAGAGGTATGAGCGAGTAGAAGGTGTCCAATGTTTCTGCTTGAACCATGCAGAACGCCAGGCCGATACTGAGCAGTTCGAATTGAGCAACAGTATGCCTTAGAAAAGAGTTTATATATAATTATATACGAAAGCTTACAGAAGTGACACTCCCGCAAAAGTGTTAGTATCATTGTTGTAGCCTTGAAACAAAAGGTTCAACGAGATTCAATCAGCATGTTCGGATCAACGGTGTTTTTGTTGCAGCCAGGTTTTGGCTCCTGTTGAAGCACTCCTCGATCGCTTGGGATCGGGGCACCCAAGAGATACACCAAAGTCGCGGCAGTAAACTCTTGACAAATAATATGAACGTTGGCCTGCCTAACAAGTTAAACTTGTGACAACTTTATCTAAAAGTAAATTGTAACAGGAACATTGGCCTGTAGAAGGCGGATGAATCCGGGTTTGGATTGCTATCAACCAAGAAGTTTCCATGTTTAGGGGCAGGCTCGTGCACGCCTTTGACTCACGACCAGTCGACCAGTTCGTCTTTTGTGTTTGGCCAGTTCGTTGTCAGGAGCCGACGAACGTGGCGCTTCTTCCACGACTGCAGCTCCCATCCTGGTCCTCTTGGGAGCAGATGCCTCACCCAAATTCATGGGCCACGATGGGGCCAGGATATCACAAGTCAAACGACAATTCCCGTGATGTGATAGGATAGGATTTATATGGATTTATGTTGAAAGTCGCTTGGCAAATGTGTTTTTTCATGTTTATTTGGGACTATTGTAATCTTCAACTATTCGCAGCCGGTGTCGAGTCGGTGTCGAGACATGCCAGTCTCAGAACCACCTTCCGGTTGGCGGCGTTGGGTCCGCCGGCTCCGAGGTTGGATTTATTACACCTTCCAAGCTGGAAGACCTGGTGGCGAGGGCATATGTGGCTGGACTCCGCGTCGCATGCCCAGCCAGCGCATGAAAAAGACGAAGTTGATCCGAATTGGCGGTGACAGCAGATTGGGTGGTTAATATGTTTGCTTATTGATGAGAAGCACCGATAGGAAGGGCCAGGAGGTGAATGGTTGCTTCAGCCGAAGGGCCGCGCCACCGGTCTTCCCTTTCAGCCACCGGTCGCAGGTGATCTTGGTGGCACCTGAGCCCTTGAGCTTCTTGCGATGCATCCGCCACGGGCTCACGCTCCGGAGGGAAGCAGGGGATAGGAGGGGCGGAAGTTTCGATGCGACGGGTGTGTCACGCTGAAAGTGTTCACATGCCATGAAATGAGTTGAAGGGGCCAACCTGAATTGGCTTGTTGAACCATGTAGGTACTGTAGAATCATGTACACAAATCATCGGAAGCCCTACCCCGCTAGCTCTTTCCTGCAGAACGTGGATCTTTGCGCTAAGGCGTGACCACCAGGCTGGGCACGGAATACCTACAAGCGACAATTCTTCACGTCCGCAGCTCAACATGGTGGTGATATATGCAGTGCTTCTCGAAGTACCTGTGTCGGGTGGTGTAGTGAGTAGTGCATGGCTACTATCAATAGCATCTCCAGCATTCTCCAGATGGAAGACCTGCATAAAAGTAGTCCTTTCCGACCCGTTCTCCTCCAGGAATCCGTTTTTCCTTGGTGATTTCTGGTCCCGTGGTCCTTTCGCGCTCCAAGCTCGAGGTTCGAAGCACTCCAAACTTCGTTGGGATCCTAAGTAGTTCGTTGGACCGTTCGTTGGAGGGTTCCCAGATGACGCGGATGACCACACATGACCCATCGTGAACGACGACAACGACTGAATGTCGCAAAAGATAGGGTCGTTGAACCAGACGGCTTTGAAAAGCAATATCTTTCAACAAAAGGAATTTGTCTAGTGATTCGTAAATATGTCGTAATGATTCGTTAAAACATGTGTTAAAATTCCCTAATACCCTTAGGGTTGTGGCACTCGTTTCCACATGGTCTTGCACCTGCCACCAGGACAGCGAAGCGCCAGTGAAGCGAGCTGACAAGCTCCGATCCTTCATGCGGGCCTTGCAGATGGTATTCGGACGGATATGTTTGAGCTTGCACTTGCCTGCAGATGTGTAGTTTTCTTTCTAGGAATGTGTCATGCGTTAGAAGCCGTCTATGCACC